CTATTTAGTCCTTATTTTACTGGTGCCTAAGACTACAAAATTTTAGAGCTAGAAAATAAACTAGTTTATCTCTTTGAACACCATCATTTTACACCAAAGAAACTGAGGTCAAGGGGGTTAAATGTTGAGGTTAAATTCCATGATTTTCTCAGGTGGATGAGAGGTGCAGGTCGGAGAGAAGTAAGTATTTTACTATAAGTTGGATTCGGTAGACCCACTTTGGGTCTGTATTTCACTGTAGCTTCATTTCATGAAGTAATGTACTAACTCAAAGAAGCAGCTCATTTGATCCCACAACACATCACTTAACAATGTGAGGAAAACCATCTGTTTCTTACCAACCAGGAAATGCGGAAGGCAGGCTGCATTCAGGGTGCTAAGTGGTTGTGATGACTGCTGTCACCATGGCAACCAATTGTTTGTTTAAGGATTTTTAAAAAAATAAGTCTTGATGATTCTTCTTAATATATCTCTGAATTCAAACCTTCCTTCAGCCAACACCTTCGCACACCTGTTTACTTCAATGGCCCTTCTGGTTTTTTCCATCCTAATCTAGCCTACTAAAAATAAAGAAACTTTAAAAAAAATATGATTTTCATTATCATCATTTCTGAGTGCCTGTTTACGCCAGGCACGTTAACATGCATGATACCGACCTTGTGAGGCAGATGTCATTATCCCCATTTTACTTGTGATTAAACTGAAGTTCAAGGAGATAAAGTGGTTTTTCTATGTACTTGGGAACCAGTGCATGGAAGATGTAGGATTTTAACTCTGGTTTTTCTGAACCCATGCCCTCTCCATTCTTCTAAGCTCCCCGCTGTTCCATGTTACCAAAACCTTTGGCTCCCTATTGCCCAGACAAGTCACCAGACCAGCTACATCTAGCCTTACCTCCTCCATCATGTCACCAAACTCCGTACTTCTCAACGTACATTTGTCTGTTCTTATTTCTGAGTTTTACACGTAGCCCTCACATGCAGCATTGTTCCTCATCTTCCCTGTGAAATCCCATCTCTTTAATCCTTCCAGCCCCAGAGTCATGACTATTTCCCTCCAGGGGTGATTCCATTGTTATTATACTCACTAGTTATCGAGCCTTCCAGCTTACCTCCTCTCCATGTTCACACACTGAGTTGCGATAGCTTGATCTTAGTTTTAGTTCAGTTAGTCCTGAAATAAAATGTGCAATGCAACTATTTGTATATCACTTTATCTTTCCAATGGCTTTTAGTTTCATTTTGGAGAGACAGAACGTAGAAGAAAACTTTATAACCGTGACCGTGTTTGTGAGGTTGACGATAGCCAGTCGTCAGAAAATGATCTTTTTTGCCCCATCTCTTGTCTGTGGAACCAGGTCGAAGAAACCAAATGTGCAGTCCCTGACTCAGCGTCAGAGTTCCTTGTTTCCTTAAGACCCTTTTCCAAGTATTGAGTTAGACGACTGTCATTGTGAACGTTTCACCAAATAAATTGATGTGTATAAGAATGAAATAAAAGTCTTCTTACCCAAAAGAAATTTCATGGAACATGACATCCTACACTTACAGGCTTTCAAATGGTTGTTTGCCCAAAGACACAAAAGTTTTTCAAAGGTTAATATGGGAAGTTCATGTTTACATAGTATTGTAGTAAATGAGATTATCCATAAATAAAATTTTCAGAAACTCAAAATCTTTCTCATGTTTAAGCCAAAATTACCACTTCAAAAATTTCAAGGATTTTGGATAAAAATAACTCTTAAAAAAGAGTGTTCACCTCTCTATCTTCTTAAACAAAACATATAAGAGAATTTTCCCTGGCTTAATGACTGAGTCATCATTTTGAGTATTAATTACTGTTCCAGTCTGTAATAAAATGTTGTTTTTAAGTTACTGGGGCATTATTAGCGTTAGGTGCCCTTGAGAGAAAATGATTCTAGATTTCTATCCTTTCTAGAATATCTGCTTCTTTTTTATATGTCTTGTGTCTTTACAGCTAACATTTATCTCTGCCTTCACTAAACCTGGGACTGCTAGTTCCCTCATCTCTACATTTCACATGAGAGTTTTGACCTGCGGTGGATGGATATACCAAGTCAACACTCTTAGGATTTTGTCTAAAATAATAGTAAATGGGTGTTGAATAAGAGATGATATATTCTCCTTATATAAAGGAATTTTACTGCATAACTTTGTTATATATAAGCTGTATGTTAGAGACTTTTCGGTTTATTTCCTGGTTCCTTGCTGGGCACTAGAAGGTTCAGATTGTTGAAACTGAGTATGACCTGCCTTACAAACCTCAGTGGTCTGGGGCGAGCAGAGAAGAGGCAGCCATTAAAACTCAGCCTGCTCCCTGGAGCTGGGACACTCAGTGGTGGGTGCTGAGACCAGTGCGCACCGTAGTTCAGAGAACTGTAGCCAAAGTCTAGAGTTCTGATGTTACATTTGCTACAGGACCTTTTTAAAGGTCACACACCCATTTACCTTCTTTGAGTTTATTTCCCCTAATTATCTCTTACATTGCTTTCATAGCTAAAAAGTTGAAGAATATTGAAGAATATTTACCTTAAAGAGTATTTTGCCCTTTTCCATAGGTAGGCCATTTTAGTTCTTTCACATTTGTACTTCCTGAAGGAAAAATTTAGTCTACTGGAAAACCAAACTTTTGTGCAGTTATCATGCATGCATACTATACATTCGTCTTCTCCACCCAGTTCATTTCAGTTTCCTTAAAACCCCTGACTACTTGGAACTTAAATATTCAAGTAGATTTCTTACTACTAAAAAGCAAACTAGCTTGTCACACAGAGCTGCTCAGGGATGTCCTTTAATCATGCTCTTTGCTTTCAGTTTATCTGGGCTAGTTCTTTGCTCACTCCTCAATTTAACCTCTTTATGTTTGCCAGTACTTGTTAACAATCAAAACGATGTTGTAGCTGGATTCAGAGAAAGGATCTTTGAGAGATGGGCCCAAACGCAGCAAACTGTCTTTGTTCCAGCCAGTAAGCACATGATAAATCTAGAGAAATAGAAAAATTACTTCTATAGGTTGCATAATGTGTAACAATAAAACCGTATCAGTCAAACATGTGGAGAGGTC